ATTATACACACACACACACACATTGAATGGCTCTACACCACAGATTGTTAGCACTTGTTATATTTTTGTGCAGGGATACGGGTAAAGCTTTTAATTTCTTAAGATTATGAATATTATTCTACAACAAATATGACTGATTACTTTTACAGTAAAGCATCTTATAAAAGCTATTACGAGAGGAGCAGAGACAAGAATGCCTCTGAGCGCCTGCTCCGGTACAGTCGCAGCGGCCAACGCAGGGAGCCTCCTCCAGAACCTGGACCCCTGCCTTGTCCTCTGAGGCCTACACGGGCTCTGGTCAGTTGCTGGGGAAGCTCTCTGGGTCTTCCCTCTTCCTCGCTATTGATGTCTGGACTGCGTCTGTGCCATCCACCTGAGCAGAGGCGCTTGTAAAAACCTATAACCGCAATAAAATTCCCCTCAAGCATGTTACTGGTAAGAGGGAGAAGAAAGCATTTAAGAAATTCACTTTATCTTCAGGTCATCTAGATGCTCACCCCTTGTGAATTTTAGACGGAATGTTGACTGAATTCTTTCTGAATACTCCAGTGGCTTTTAAGAAAGAATTTTCTTGAGGGTCCAGCGGCAGCCTCTGTGACCACATTGTGCTTGTCTGCGGACTTTGGATTCTGTAGCTATGAAAACAAGTCAGACTGCAACAGGAGGACCTTTCCTGAATCCCCAAAACATAGTTTCCTTCTGTTTGGTTCCGTTTGGTTTAAGCAGATGCAGAAACCCTCGCTTTCTGGATAAGCTGTTCTCCATGGCCAGACATTGATGAATGGATGGTCAAAGACAGCAAACACTTCTCAACTGTTTCAGATGTCCCTCTCAGAAAGGGCAGGCGGGAGCTGGCCTGGAGGCATAGTGGTTAGGTTTGCACACTCCACTTTGGAGGCCCAGAGTTTGGGGATTTGGATCCCGGGCATGGACCTACACACCATTCCTCAAGCCGTGCTGCGGTGGCACCCCATATAGAAGAACTAGAAGAACTTACAACTAGGGTGTGCAAGTATGTACTGGGGCTTTGGGAAGAAAAAAGAAAAGGAAAAAAGGACAACTATGTACTGGGGCTTTGGGAAGATTGGCAACAGATGTTAGCTCAGGGCCAATATTCCTCACCAAAAAAAAAGTCCAGGTTGAATTTTGATTGGTGACTTCTAGTGAAAATTAGAGTCTTTGCTATACACAAGTGCTTTTAAGAACTTGCCAACCTTTTCCATAAATGGAATTAAATTTATTATAGCTCCTAAGTGCCAAAGTTCCCAGCTGACGGATGTTGCTATACCTTGCAAGTCTGTTATGATTAGAGCTCAGCTTGCACGCGCATCAGGCTTTCCTATACTGCTTTCAAACTATGAAGAGTTTCTTTTACATTTCTTGTATTTTTTTATTCACGTGCCTGCTCTATAGCCCTGTGGAGTCAAATGCTAATGTAACTCTTACTTTTATTGGAGACTTAGAAAAGCCAGGTGATTTTCTCAACATGCAGCAGAGTGAAAGGGCTGTTATGCAGAGTGTGGGGGCAGGCTGATCAATGTGCCAGTCAACTGAGAGTGGCCTCGGGGTGCTCCAGCTTCCCTGGTGTTCCCTTTGAGGCTCCAGCATCATTGATCTTCCAGTTTGTGGCCTGAAACTAATGAAAAATCTTGACAATCCCTGTGAAGAACAACATGTAACTGAAGAGACTGGGCAAGATGACAGGGAGAGAAAGGGTGATAAGTAGCAGCCCCCATGATGGTAGGACGCTTTCTTCACGTTCTCGTTTACATTTCTGAAGCTCAAAATATTCTCAAACAGCCAAACAATGTTGGAAAAAAGAAGCTTCTTTCAAAAACAAATATTCTGCAAAAAATGAAAACAACCTAAATGTCCATCAAGAGTAGAATGGATTCATAAATGGTGGTTTCTTCATACAATGGGATAATACTCAGCAATATAAACAGAATGCCCTATTGGACAAAACTTTAGTACATTGCACTGAGAAAAATGAGAGATAAAGAGCATGTGTGACTCCATTTCTATGACGTTCTCTCTGAACCATTTGTCTGAACTGATCTCTGGCAGAAGGAAAGTCATTCAGGCTTATGTGGAAGGATAGGGGATGAGATTGCCTGGGAAGGGGCGCAGGGGACTTCCTAAAATGATGGGAATGTGCTGCATCTTGATTGGGGTGGTAGTCACATGGGTGTAGACATTTGTCAAAACTCATCAAGCTGTATCTTTAAAATCTGTGCCTTTACTGTGTATAAATTATATCTCCATGAAGAGTGTATGTTACAGCTTTTCTCTGTGAGGCGTTCTTCCAAGTGCTCTACATGATTTAACTTATTTGATTCTCACAAAAATATAGCTTTCTTGCTAAGGTTAGGAACAAGGCAAGGATGTCTTCTCTTACTGCTCCTTTTTAACATTGTATGGGAACTGCTAGATAATGCACTAAGATGTGAAAAGGAAATAAAAGATATACGTATTGAGAAAGAAGACATAAAACTGCCTTTGTTTGCAGATGACATGATCGTCTACACAGAAAATCTGAAAGAATCAACAAACAAAACTCCTAAAACTGATAAGCAAATATAACAAGGTTGCAGGAGACAATATTAATATACAAAAGTCAATCACTTTCTTATGCACCAACAATGAACAAGTGGAATTTGAAATTAAAAACACAATATCATTTACATTAGAATCCAAAAATGAAAATACTTATGTATAAATTTAACAAAATATGCACAAAATCTATATGAGGAAAACGACAAGACTCTGATGAAGGAAATAAAAGAAGAATTAAGTTAATGGAGAGATTTTCCATGTTCACGTAGATAAGAAGACTCAATATGGTCAAGATGTCAATTTTTCTCAACTTGATCTATAGATTCAATGCAATCCCAATGAAATTTCAGCAAATTATTCTGTGGATACAGACAAACTGATTCTAAAGTTTAAGAGAGCCAATGACCCAGAATGACTAACTCAATATTGAAGGAGAATAACAGGTCAGAGGACTGACACTACTCAACTTCAAGGCTTACTATAAAGCTGTGATAATCAAGACAGTGTGGTACTGACAAACAGATAGACGGAACAGAATAGAGAGCCCAGAAATAGACCCTGCATAAATACAGTCAACCGATCTTTGACAAAGCAGCAAAGGCAATACAATGGAGCAAGATAATTTTTAAACAAATGGTGCTGGAACAACTATACATCCACATGCAAAAAAGCATATTTAAACACAGATATTACACCTCCACAGAAGTTAACTCAAAATTGATCATAGATTTAATGTAAAATGTAAAACTAGAAAAATCCTAGAAGATGACATAGATGACCTTGAATACGACGATGACTTTTTAAATACAACACCAGAGACACAATCCAAGAAAGAAATAATTGATGAGCTGAATTTCATTAAAATTAAAAACTGCTGCAAAGATTCTGTGAAGAGAATGAGAAGACAAGCATAGACTGGGAGAAAATATTTGCAAAAGACATATTTGATAGACTGTTATCTGAAATATACAAAGAACTTTTAAAACTCAGCAATAGGAAACAACCCAATTAAAAAACAGGCAAGTGACCTGAGCAGTTCAAGCACTTCAACAAAGAAGATACACAGATGGCAAATAAGCGTATAAAAAGATGCTTGGCTTCACATGTCATCAGCGAATTGCAAATTAAAGCAACAATGAGATACCACTACACACCTAATGAAATGGACACAATCTAGAACACTGACAGTGCCAAATGCCTGCGAGGATGTGAAGCAACAGGAACTCTCGTTCATTGTTGGTGACAATTTGTCAATTTCTTACAAAACTAAACATACTTTTTCCACAGGACCCAGCAGTTGTGCTGCTTGGTATTTACCCAAAGGAGTTAAAAGCTTATGTCTACACAAAATCTGCACATGGATGTTTTTAACTTCTTTATTCATAATTGTCAAAATTGAAAGCTACCAATATGTCTTTCAGTAGGCAAAAGGATAAATAAACTATGATGCATCTACACAATGGAATATTATTCAGCACTAAAAAGAAACAAGCTATCAAGCCATGAAAAGACATGAAGAAACCTTAACTGCATATTACTAACTGAAAGAAGCCAGTCTGAGAAGGTTACATTCTATATGATTCCAACTATATGACATTCTGGAAAAGGCACAATTGTGGAGACAGTAAAAAGATCAGTGGTTGCCAGGGGTTAGTGGAGAGGGAAGGATGAATGTACATTGCACAGAGGATTTTTAGGGCAATGAAACTACTGTATATGATATTATAATGCTAGATACATGTCGTTATACATTTGTCCAAACCCAGAGAATGTACACCACCACGCATGAACTGTAATCTAAGCTATGAATGTTGGGTAATGATGGTGTATCAGTGCAGGTTTGTAGATTGTAACATATGTAACACTGTAGTGCAGGATATAGATGGGGGGGATTGTGCCTGTGGGGGGAAGGGGGCATATGAGAACTCTGTACTTTCTGCTCAATTTCGCTGTGAACCTGAAACTGCTGTAAAAAATGAGGTCTATGTTTTTAAAAAGCTAATGCACATTCTTTATCTGTTACTGCTAATTTGTAACAATTGAGGAAAAACAGCTAAAAAGAGCAAGCTCTAGGCAGAAGGTCCAAAAAACAAGCACTGAGAGCTTCAAAAGTGATGGTTGCTTAAAAGCGATGTCGGTTGCTAATGCAGGTCCCAGGTAGTCATCAGGATTGGTGGCTACGTTCCACTGGGGAATCCTAGATTCAAAACTTGTAGAGCAGAGAGGACCTGTGAAAGCATCCCACATTCTCAGAATGTGAATTTAGTGTGTAAGAAAAGTTTTAAGCTTTTAAAAAGTGTCTTAAAGTTTTCTTCTGGGTTGCTGGAAAATTTGGTGTCAGTGTCTATTGGAGATCTCAATTTTTACCCCCTCGGTTAAAAAATATGCTGAGGTTTTACATGCTACCACGGTGTTGCAGAGCGAGCATCTAGTCATCCAGTTACCTCCAAGACGCCTACTGTCCTGGCTGGTGTGCTGCCTTCAGGGTTCTCAGCCTCGCTGTTTCCCTGTGAAGCTTGAGGTCCGGGAACTTCTGGTGAGGCAGGGGGCCCCCCGACCTCGCCAGCTGCCCAGCTAGTAGCTAGAACCATCTGTAAGCAAGGAAGGAGAGGAAGTGAGATCAAGGATGAAGAAAAGGAAGGGAGAGGAGAGAAGAGAGAGAGCATCAGCAGCCCACTGAGGTGCAAACGTCAGTGGGGGATTTGGGGGTGGTGTCAGGTGAACAGGAAGTAAGACATCCAGAGTTGCCCTGTCCAGGGAAGACGGCTGGTCACTAAGGCCCCTTGCTTAGCCAGGTGGTCTGAAAACAGTTTTCAAAAATGTGGCTCTCAACTGTGTTGATGGGACCGCTCCTCTGCTCTGAGGATCAGCCCCTGAGAGTCGACACAGTGTCAGGTTAGAATATATTTGTTTATATTTTAAAATTGTGAGTGAGAAATGCCATTCGTCTCCCTCCATGGGGTGGGTGTGAGCTGACGCAATGGCCTCAGAGTTTCAAGCTTCCAGTGCAATTGTCCTTCTACAAGGACAGGATGAGGGTTAAATGTGCTTTTCAAGTGGTCTGTCCTGAGAGCTTGAGAAAACCCCCACAATGGGCCTCTGTCCTGGAAGCCAGAACCCTTGCTTTTGCCTCGTGGAAGACGCAAATGCTGGGAGTTTGGTTGTTTTTTTGGGTGTTGGTGTCAGGGAGCATTGCTTTTTTTGGTAAGAATTTTGACAGCTCTATACTTATTGCTTGTTCTTGGGGGTGTGTGTATGTAAATATTAAAGTTGCAGCTTATGAGAGTCGGGAGCTGAGACAGCTGGAAGGTGGTTCACGCTGGGGGAGAGGCTGAGAAGAGGATCTGCACTCGGTTTGGTCACACGGGACCCGGATCTCACAACCGTATTATAGAAAACTGAATAGAATTCTCTGGAAATATATTATCTTGTTGAAGGCCAGAGGGAGTAGAGTGTAGAGCAGGGTCCCCCTTGTGGGACTGGACATGGCCATTGTCAACCACCCTTGTAAGGAAACAGGGCCTGGGAGCAGAAAAGGGCTCAGGAGGCACGTCTCCGGCTGGAGTAAGGTGAGGAGGGAGAGCTCTCTCTTGCGCTATCGGGGACGTGGAGGCTCTTGACTCTAAATAGCAAAGGTGTTTGAGGACACCTCTCCTGGGCAAAGGTAAGCTAGCGCTGTCTCCTTGATGTATGTGAAGGATCAGGCAAACAGGAGACCCCAGGGGAGACTATCAGGGAACCGTGGAGAACCTTATCGGCTGTCCAGCTTTGGGTTTCTTTTTTGTTATAATTCCTCTCTGTTAACTCTAAGTCCACATAAAATCCCTTTTAAACATTGTGGCTTGGTTTCTGCATTTGCTGAGAGAAATTCAGAATGGGACAGCAGAAAACAGTAGCAGCTGGAAAGAAGTAGGTCCAGGGATCCCAGCACAGCTACCAGCAGCAGCCAGAACCTCCCCAGTGTTGGAGGCTGCAGTCAGCCATGAAAACAGCATCCTGGTGCCTGGAATGATTCCGTGGGAGTCCCAGAAATGCTGGTGAAGTGGAAGCTGGTAGAGGAACTGGACTTCCTAGGGCCAAGCGGGTAGGAACCTGTGGCACCATCATTTTTGCATCATAAAGAAATGTAACTTTATTACATCATTTAAAGCTAGTGAAGCCTGAAGATTTGGGCTATCTAATGTAAGGAACTGAGGCTTGGTTACTGGGGTTTATTCTTGTTCATTCTGTTGTCCGAGGAATGGGAAGGAGGCCACACATTGCTTGAAAATTGGGAGTAAACCCTGATGGAGAGGAACATTCTGCTTTCATTCTGTAAAATTAGAGACACAATGTAACACTCTCCATCTACTTAGCCACAAAACACTGACATCAGTGTTCATGCTCTGAATCTCAATACAGGTCGCTCCGTTTGTGCATTCATACAGTCTTCTTGATTACCAAATACCTTAGCAAATAGGAGAGCAGATGTTCCCTCTCACAGCTTCAACGAGGCATCTGCTCAAATCATTCGTCTCCTTTAATTCATTCAATTGCTAAGCCCCTGTATTTGTCCTGACATCTGGGGCCTGGCTTTTTGCCCATGCAACAAAGTTGAGTAACATTGAGTAATTTTCTGGACCAAGTTCTAAATTGGTATTTGAAGGGCGGAGAGCTGAAAAATTATGTCTGAATGCTTCCTAATGTGGTAAATATTATTTTTGCCCATTACCAAACCAGGAGTGATTTTTTCTGGGTGACAGGAGCGATTATTTTTTATTTACACATTTCCGTTAGCTAATTAAAAAAATGAAGAGATCTGTTTTATATAATAATTTAAAAAGTGTATGGCTATCCATTTAGGAAGTTCTGGTCATACTTAACTTTCTCAGTCCTCCATTCCATTCTCAACATTGTTGAAGGAGACAGATGGATGGTTTAGCGGCTTGTCTCCAAGATGGCCACCATTAGTTCTTTCCTTGGCTACATAAACAAACCATTCCTCATTGAGAGGTGGGACTTATTCCTCCAACTTATTGAATCTAGGCTGCTTGTGACTTGCTCGTGACCAGCAGAATACAGTGGAACTGACATTGTTTAACTTCCAAATCATGAGAAGCCTTGCAGCTTCTATTAGGTCTCTGAATTCTCCCTCTTGGGAATCCAGCCACCATGTAAGCACTGCAACTACCCTGAGACCAGCAGGTTATAAAGAAGCCCAGCCACTGGAAGTCCAGTGGAAGTGTAGCCACTTCATGTCTGTCATGTGTACATGTCAGTGACTAGAGTTATCTTTGGGTTTCACAGATAATGTGGGGAGGAGAGAGTTCTCCTTTCAGTACTTTAGTTTATGATGGGGCTGGGAGGAAGGATGCTGGCTGTAGAGAAAGTTTCTTTTCAGACTTTCTGGTTGGGGAAGTGGTGAGAGAGGTTTCTATGTATTTACATTGATGCTGTTTGTGCACAAATAAGTGGTTGGAAAAACCTCTGGGTTAGATTAGATGACCTGTGGGGGGCCTTCTGACTTGGAAATTCTGGGTTTTAAATGGCTGATCAGCCATTTCCCCTGTTTCTTCCTGCCTTGGGCCATTTTCTCCCAGGAGCCTTCTGGCTGCCAAGGGGAATTTCATGTTCAGTTCATGGTTGAGGTCAAGCTTGTTTTAGCTTGGTTCTGGCTCACTGGTTCCGTATTACTAGGAAGTCTTCCAAAAATACAATCAGGAGGGAGAATTTCTCCAAGCATTTTGTACAAGTTTGGTTCACGGAACCCATGTAGGATATACTATTCTGTGGACCAGATAGCCTATATTAAAGAGGGCAGTCCTGAATTTTGTCTTCTCTTTCCCTCTCTAGTTTCCAAATGTCATTCATGAACATAGTTTTTGCTTCTCTGAGGCCAGCACTCTCCGCTTGTAGTGAGTATCTGTTGTCTGCCTGACTAGATCAGCACATGACTACCCACCTTCCTCTGAAAAGTTCTCCCTCCTAGAATTTAAAACATGAGCAGCCATCCAATTGGAGCTGCCATCTTTGTAAAGATCTCACCTTCCTGAGCTGTTTATTGTTCAAGGGTGAGCACCTGACCCATGATGGACCAATTAGAATCCTTCCCCAAGACTCTTTAATTGGGGCTGGAGAGAGTCTCAGGTTTTCCCTGATGGCAAAGCTGGGAGATGTGTCTGATTCCTGCTACAGTTATGTTTCCTGCCGTGATTCAGCCAGTTGTAACCTGCCTAAAACTTAAGCTTTTGGAGAGATCCCATTTGACAGAAGGAAACCAACACTTAAAGAGAAAAATGCATCACACACACACACACACAGAGTTCTAATAGCAGTTGAGGCTTAGTTTCAGGGTTTTTCTCCTCTGACTTTCCTGCTGTTATAAAAACCTTTTTACTAAATATCAAATAAGGTAGTTCAAGGTGAACTTCTGATGCTTAAAACTAAAGGTCATGACTAATAGTCTGAAATCCTCCAAGTTAAAAGCATAAGTTCTGCAGTCATTGCTTAGGATCATTCCTGGCTCCTCTTACTAACTGTGACTTTGAACCAGTTGCTAGTTTAACTTCTCTAAGCCTTAGTGTATTTACTTGTGAATGGGAATGATATTGGTCCCTACCTCATAGTGTGGTGATGAACATTAAGTGACATCATATTGTTTCAGCTCTTTATTGCTACATAACAAGCCACTCAAAACTTGATGGGTTAAAACAATATCGGTAATTATCTGCTCATGGCTCTGCGGTTTGAGCATGGGCTCAGTGGTCTCTGCTCCATGTGGTGTGGCTGTGTTGATTCAGTTGGGACTGGAGGATCCAAGAGGGCTTTACTCACATGTCTGGTGCCTCAAAATGGTGGCTGACTGGCTGGGTCTCTTTTTCTCTCCTTTCATTGCCTCCAGGCCCTCTCTATCCCCCTGTGGCCTCTCTGCCCATCAGTGTGGTCAGACATTACTACTTGGTAGCCTACTTCAAAAAGCATGAAAGCAGAAGCTGCAAGTCCTCTGTATTCGTTTCCTGTTGCTGCTGAAACAAATTACCATGAACCTAGTGGCTTAGAACAACACAAATTTATTATCTTACAGTTCTAGAGGTCATAAGTCTGAAATGGGTCTTATGGGTCTAAAATGAAGGTGTTGGCAGAAGGTGTTCCTTCAGCAGCTCTAAAGGAGAATCTGTTGCCTTGACTTTTCCAGATTCTAGAAGCTGCTGCATTCCTTGGTTTATGGCTCCTTCTTCCACCTGCAAAGCCAGTGCATAGCACCTTCAAACCTTTCCCTCTTTCTCTGACCTTTAGTTCCGTCATCAAGTCTCCTTCTCTGACTCTTCTGCCTCCCTCTTACAAGAACTCATATAATTACATTGGGCCCATCTGATAGCCCAGGATAATCTTCCCATCTCAAGACCTTAAATTAGTCACATCTGCAAAGTTCCTTTGCTATGTAAGGTAACATATTCACAAATTCTGGGAACCAGGGTGTGGACATCTTTGGTAGGGGTGGGGCACTACTCTGCTTACTACAGTCTGCCCTCTGGGTCCCAGTGATTCACGTCACCCCCAGGCATCTATCCTATCTCAGCTTCCCCAAAAGTCTCAACTCTTTACA